CGGCAGCCCCCGGCCCGGCCCGCCCTCAGCCCCGCCGACGCCTCCTTCCCACTCGGACAAGGGCGTCCAGACCCCCAGCAAGGGGACGCCGGCCTCCCTGCCCAACGGCAACCACAGGTACTGCCGCCTGTGCAACATCAAGTTCAGCAGCCTGTCCACCTTCATCGCCCACAAGAAGTATTACTGTTCCTCGCACGCCGCCGAGCACGTGAAGTGACCGGCGGCCACACTACAAGCTGGAAACCGCTTCACACGCCCGCTGCTCCCCGGGAGCCAGGGCCTGCCGGCCTGCCGCTCATAGAGACAGGATCACCCGCAGGTCCCAGGTGTTGGAGACTCTGGCTCCTGGGAAACGCACCAAGCACAGGCCTCAGCAGAGGGGACTGCAGGTGGCAGCACCCGCCTGGATCCTTGGCACTTAATAAAGAAGTTCAGTTTGATGAGTGGAGTGATGAAGCAGCCTAGTTCTCTTCGCAGAGGGCCCCGCAGGGTGGGGCGCACGCCGGCCAGCACCTTAGGCACCTTAGGCTGGGTGAACCAAGCACCCAGAGGCCCACCGCACCAGTCCGGCATTCACACAGGCCACTGCAGTCTGGCGTGACCAGGCCCCCTGCCAGAGTCACACGTTAGTGGTCCTGAGAGCTGGACCGAGCTCCCGGTCAGTCTGATGCAACCACACACACACAGTATTGCTACCCTGCCATCTCTGTACCCACTTGGGGCGCAGGGAGAACTGGAACTTCTAGGCCCACTGCTTCCCCATCCCCTCCCCCGCAGGATCCAATCAGAAGCTCTGCTTTGGCCACCAGACACCAAAAAGAAAGGGCTTAATCCTCCCCAGCTGATAGTCTTCCCACCCCACTTGGTTCCAGGGACCTGGATGTCACCCATCTGGTCACAGGCCACCAAGGGTCGAGGGATGGGCATCTTGGGGAGGATGAGGCCCTGTTGTTACCAACGCTGGTGGGAGAGAAGAGGCAGTCAATAGGCACCAAAGAAGAAGGTGGACGGGGGAGAGGACACCATGACCCCTAGGACCAGGGGACCAAATCCTGAACTAGGTGTAGCATGGCACCTGTGGCGGCTGCAGTGGGGATGAGGAACAGGGGTACCCCAGCCCCAGTCTGTCTGGTTCTGTGGGGGTTGCTTGTGCCATGGCTGGACTGGTCGATGTTAGGCCAACCCAAGCAGAGTCCAGCCATGCCCTTGCCGTTGGGCATCAGGGTAACTGGGCCACCCTCCAGCCTGGTGTCCCTGCTAGAAAACACACCATCAGCCCTTTCCAACTTTGCTTGAAGTAGCAAACACAGTTTCGCTCAGCAGCCTACAGTGGATAAATGTGAACTCTGACCTTTGACCTTTCTCCATCTTCCTGCCACCCACCCAGACTCACTCTCCAGGCCCAAGGCAAATTTCCCTCCCACCCAGCCCCACAGAAGTGACAGGCTGGCATAACAAGCTTGTGTTTGGATAAGAACAGTCTCCATGGCATCATCCGCAGGCAAGAGCCAAATACACACCTCCTGCTTGCTCTGAGCTCGTCCTGAGTACCAGGGCTTGACTAGACAGGATCACTTGGCCAGAGCCACCGGACAGTCAGGATTCCCATACCGTTAGGGGCCTGGGCTCTGGGAAAGGGTTGGGGGAGTGTCCCATGGGAGCCAAGCTGGCCTGTCCTCTAAAAGATCAGCCTGGCCTCAGCCCTCCTGGGGTGGGTTGGGAGAGGCGCACAGACCCTTGGCCCTGCTCCTCCTTTGCATTGTTCTGCATTAATTTTGAAGGAAAGTTCAGGAAGCTCTGCCTCTAAGTTAGATCACCGAATGAAGGGAGACCCTCTATCCTCACACTGTTCTCAAAAAATTAAACCTAGCAGTGAATTTTACTGTGCATAAATTGTAAAAAGATGCTGGGGAACATCAGGGATATGGCTTTTTTATATATATTTATTTATTTATTTATTTTTTACAGAGAGGAAGGGAGAGGGATAGAGAGTTAGAAACATCGACCAGCTGCCTCCTGCACACCCACTACTGGGGATGTGCCCACAACCAAGATACATGCCCTTGGCTGGAATCGAACCTGGGACCTTTCAGTCCGCAGGCTGATGCTCTATCCACTGAGCCAAACCAGTTAGGGCAGGGATATGGCTTCTTACAAGCAATAGATGCTCAACAGGAGGAAGAAACACAACACAGACTCATCAGATGGGGGAGACCATTGTCCAGCATATTTACCCCTCCTCAAAAGCCACACCCGCATACCTACACAAAGTGACCACAGGAGGGCAGATGTGAATGGAAGACAGTGCCATACAGAAAATAGCCCGTTTCCATACCTGTAAATGTGCGTGGGGGTGTGCTCAATGGTTGTGCAGCCCCTTCTGAGAGAGTTCAGTAGGCAGAGCCAACCCTACCCTTGACCCGGACCTGAACTGCTGGCCTTGTCACCAGGGGAGTCCTGGGCTCTGTAGCCTACTGCCCTCACTCAGGCCTGGAGAGGTGGCTCAGCTTGGAGGTTCTAGGGCAGCACCACACAACTCACTAAGTGCCCTACAACTGGGTCCCTTGCCCCTTCACTGTTCGCCATCCGTCCCCCCTCACCCCCCGCCCCCGCCGCAGGGTAGGGCTAAATACCCTCCTGCCCCCTTCCTTCTCAGACCCTGGGTTTCCCACACCACAGACTCCATCAGCAGACCTGCCTTCTCAAGCCCCCCACCCAGCAACTCCACCACCTACACCAGAACCTGCCACCACCACCTGCTGCGGCCACTGTCCCAGAGTCCTGTGATGGGACTAAATGACCAGTCCACACCCCGATCATTGCCATCCACAGCGCTGCTCGCCCACACACCCCCAGGGACAGCCTAGTCAGCCGTGGGCAAACTACGGCCCGCGGGCCAGATCCGGCCCGTTTGAAATGAATAAAACTATTGAAAAAAAAGACCATACCCTTTTATGTAATGATGTTTACTTTGAATTTATATTAGTTCACACAAACACTCCATTCATGCTTTTGTTCCGGCCCTCCAGTCCAATTTAAGAACCCATTGTGGCCCTCGAGTCAAAAAGTTTGCCCACCCCTGGTAGCTCCAGGAATCGCTGCAGGTGAACATTCCTGGCACCAGGGGTCAGCAGCAACTCTTATGTGGGCCAGCAAGCCAGGATCAAAGCCTGCTTTCCTAGCACGCTGCAGACTGGCCAAGCCTTCAGGTCCTTTGTCTCCTGAGGACACAGAAGCAGGGGATGGGAGGGGGCAAGGAGGGATGGAAGGTGGCCCATCACACCCAGGAAGGGGCCTCAGGAGGACATGGAGATGGACGACCTTACAGAGCTTGGAAGTGAGTCAATTTCCACAGAAAGGGAAGGAGCAGCAAAAATCACCAGCCAGGGCAAGAGGGGCCCAGACTGGGGTCAGCCTTGGATGAAGGGAACATAGAGAAGCCAGGGGGCTCCCAGGCAGAGTCCCAGCAGGTGCCTGGTAGTAATCAAACTGCTTCCACACACCCGAGGTAAGGCCTGTCCTGTCACTGTTCTTATGGAAGGGGCAGCC